AGCGTTTTTATCCTACTGTCCGGGAATGCCTATACTTCTCAGATTATATCCATTAAAGTAAATATCAATTTATTATCAATTCTTTTCAATTATGTGATGCGAGTGAGAGTCGAAAAAAGCGAAAAAAGTGGAGAAAAGAAATAATTTGTGTGAAGAGTGTGTGAAAGTTGAACACAAAAACACTTTCATCTCTTAAGTAAACTTTGTTTGTGCGGTACATAAGGCTTACTTAAAGTGAAAACATAGACTATAATATTACTGAAGATAGCGAATGATATGTCCTCCTGAGCTCTAACATACTGGCCATGCTATAGGTTCTCGTGGTGGTTCATAGCATTGCCTTTCTCGCTATTGATATTCATCTACGACGAGGTCCGGCGGTTCTTAATTCGTCAGTACCCGGGCGGTTGNATAGGTTCTCGTGGTGGTTCATAGCATTGCCTTTCTCGCTATTGATATTCATCTACGACGAGGTCCGGCGGTTCTTAATTCGTCAGTACCCGGGCGGTTGGGTAGAGCGCGAGACCTACTATTAACACCGGGTGCTCGGCTTACGTCGATTAGGGGAAAGGGCCGCAACAAAAGCACAAGAATTTTACAGAATATTCATATTTCTCAACAAAATATATTTATATAACTTCGAAATACAACCACTTTTTTGATATGAATACTAGATCTTAACAAATAAAACAAAACTATACGAAAGGTTTTTTCAGCGAGTGTTTAATTTGAATATATGATAGTATATTTACTGTTTTCTGTATGTAATGCATTGATAGCTTACAATCACTTTATCCTTGACTTCTATGATTTAACAGCACTTCTAAAGAAAAGTTGGGTTTTCCTGAATTAAATAGAAGTTTATTGTTGTTTAAGTCATTATATTTTAAGAGCTTTTTAACAAATCCAGTGAAAACAAAATAAATAAAAATTTACTTAAAAACTACTATTGCATAAAAATAATAAACTATAATAAACTTTATTATATTTAGTAGATATAAAAAATAAAGATATTTAATAATAACAATGCTTTGTTTATAATTAACTAACATAATAAACTAATAATAATTATTATTAATAAACTACTGTATTTCTTAAAGATTTGTGAATAACCAATAAAAATACAATAAAACTCTATTACCATAAATTGTCTTTAAATACAAAATTTAGAAATATAATCATAATTTGAGAAAACAAAGCCATAATGAGGGCCAGTATTTGTGTTTTGTTCGCCAATTGCAGAGAATCTACATTTTCGACACAATCCTTATGTTGCCGTCGTTTTGGGGAAGGGTGTCGGCGTCCAGGAGATAGTTAGCGGCCTTTCGTCCACTGAGGAAAGCCCCGTGAACTGTAGAGTAGAAGGACGGGTGGGTCGCCTCACCCGCGAACACCATAATTGGCTGTCAAATCAACAATTTTAGTTAATTTACTCAAAATTCTTTAGTATTTTTGTTTTCAAATCAAGATCTCTATAATTAGCGTTATCTCTCAAAATGTCATTAAAATTGTGTTTTTCGTCAAATAATCATTATATTGACGATTAAGACATCAATGAATGCTTTTACAAACTCTTAACAAAATAGATTAAAAATGAGTTCTAAAACGATTAAAAATGTCTAAAACATGCAATTTTATCGACCACTTTATCAATTGAATAATTGTTTTCTGATTTAGTAAGAATGTACCATAAATGTGTGTACCAAGTACTGTACACTACCAAAAAAACTAATTGACAGATATGTGTGAATGAATGAAATACCTTGTCGTGAGCCGGGTCTGCATATATGGGCTGCGATAAGAGTTCAATGTCACGAACTGATGAATTGGATGGTATGTAGGAATAGGACCCCAGAGTGAAGGGATCACTCCCCCATCGGGTGATTATTATATTATCTGCTTTCGGGAACTTCTTATTGTTGAAGAATTGCTGCAATAATCCGGTTATCTCTTCATTGATTATCTCATCATCGGTTCGCTCCAACTCGACGGCCTCTTCACCGGACGCCCACATCAGGAGACAGTGGTTTGTTATCTGGGAAATGGAGTAAATCTTCTGAAAATATTTACATTTCGGAGGATTCTGTTTATCCCATAAGACAATAGTCTCGTCGACGCTGATATCAATGAAGTTATTAAGCGGTAGACTGTACTCGAGGAATATCTTATCAACGGTTCCAAAGCCTAATGCCTTAATGGCTTCGAGTTTATATTGCGGTAGTTTTGGCTCAAATAAAATGTTTGAATCTCTCTTTAAGACACCTAATG